GGGGATGAGGGCCCTGGGCGGGGCGGGGTGGTACCTGCTGGTGGGCTTGTCCTGGGCCTGAGGCTGAGCGGCCAGGGCGTCCTTCTCGCCGGACCTGAGCGTCTGGGTCCTCTGCCGGCCAGCGGGCGGGGCGACAAAGTCCCAGAGGACGAGGTGCTTGTCCTCGCCTACGCTGCCGAAGCGGATTGTGCGGCCGTCGCAGCGGGCCGGGTCGACGGCGACGGCGACGACGAAGCTGCTGTGGCCCTGGCAGCGGGCGAGGAGGCGCTGCTCGCGCAGCGAGAAGAGGGAGACGAGGTCGTCCTGCCCGCCTGTGGCGAGGTGGCGCGAGTCGGGCGTCCAGGCGCACGAGGTGAGCGAGCCGAAGTAGGACGAGTACGTGTCCAGCAGCTTCTCCGCGGACGGGTCGATGATCCGCAGGCAGCCGTCCTCGGACGTCGTGGCCAGGTAGCGCATGTCGGGGGAGAAGGAGAAGTCTGCAGAGGGGTGTTAGTGGGTCAGGGGGGGGGGGGGGGGGGGGGGGGGGGGGGGGGGGGGGGGGGGGGGGGGAGGGGGGGGGGGGTGCGGGCGCACCGGTGATGGCGCGCCGGCAGATGCGCCAGTGGGAAACCGGGTTCTTGGCCTGCTTCTCCTTCTCGCCCTTTGCGGGCGGGCCCGGGGGCGGGGGCCGGACGACGATCATGTCCTCGAGGGCGTTCCAGCCGGCGTCGGCGTCGGCGGTGTCGGTGCTGGCGATCCCGAAGTTTCCGTCCTCGCGCTCCTTGTCGTAGACGTTTATGGTGCCGTCGGCGTGTGCGGCGAGGAACATGCTCCTGTGGCCCGGGACCCAGCGGACGCAGGTGATGGGCGAGGTGGTCATGCAGCCGCCCTTGTTGATGCGGACGTAGCGGGAGCTGAGGGGGTCGTACCACATGATGTCGCCCGTGTTGAAGCCGATGAGGAGGTCGAGGGCGTCGGAGCCCGAGGTGTGGCGGTTGATGTCGTGGCAGGTGGGGAAGGCGGCGAAGGTGACGCGGGCGAGGGGCTCCTTCATGCCCGCGCCGAGCTCGTACCAGAAGAAGCTCTTGGCGCCGTTGTAGAAGGCAAAGGTGACGTCGCCGGACTTTGAGGCGAGGTGCTTGGTGAGCCCCTCGGTGGTGTGGATGCGGGTGACGAAGGAGGACGAGGTGGAGCGGATGTTGTGCGTCGTCCGCGCGGCCGGCTTCTTCTTGCCGTTGAGCGGGGCGGGTGCGGGCGGGGCGAAGAGGCCCGGGGTGGGCGGGGGCGCGTCGGAGGAGGCTGCTGGGTCCGAGTCGGACTCGTGCTCCTCGTCCGACACGCTCTCGTCGGCCTCGCGCTCGCCGGCGGGGAGGGGGTGGTGCTGCTGCTGCTGCTGCTGCTGCTGCTGCTCCACCTCCGGCTGCTTGTCCGTCCTGTCCCTGCGGAGGAGGGCTGCGAGCCCCTGTGTTGCCTGCCTGGCGGGGAATGAGACTGTGATTGTTGTGAGCCTGCTCGGGTAGAGGTTGGGCGAGTTTACGATCTGTGAGTGGAGCACGGGCGGCTTGACGTCGTCTGTGAGGTGGTATATGCCCTCTGGCGCGGTGAGGCTCGTCTCCTCGGGAGCGTGTGCGTGTGCGTGTGCGTTGGTGGAGGCCATGCCGAGGGTGGCCTTCCAGAAGAGGGCGTCTGCGTCTGAGATTGTGAGGGGGAAGGCGCCGTAGGAGGAGGCGAAGGCGGCGGGGGCGGAGGCGGAGGCGGAGTGGGCGTGGGCGTGGGAGGGGGCCCTGACCGCGGAGCCGCCGTGCCTGGGGCCGTGGTGGGAGGACTGGCGAGCGTAGACCATCTTCGGACCGTTGGCTTCTCTTCGTCTGTCTCGCTGGGGGGTTTATAACCCACCGTCCACCGTCCGTTGGGGCAACCAGCAACCAGCACACAGAGGGTCACCATGCCCGCCCACCCGCCTCGCACGCTCTTTATACCCCGCCCGCGCCCTCGCCTGCTTCCCGCCTCTTCCCCGCTCGCCCCCTTCACCCCGCGCCCTCCGAGGCCTTCTTCTCCCCCCACCCCCTCCCGCCCACTCGCACACGACGCCGCCGAGCCCCCCCCGCCCGGCGGCCACCTCCCCAGCGTCGCCACCTCCCGCCTCCTCCGCACATCCCGCGACGCCGCCCTCCGCGCACCCGCCATCACCTGGAACGACGAGCCAGATGCCCTCCGCGACGAGCCCGGCACACACACCGCCCGCCAGACACGCAAGATGAACACATACCAGGCAGTCAGGGACGCAATGGCCATCGCCCTCCTCAAGGACGACTCGGCCCTCGTCTTCGGCGAGGACGTCGCATTCGGGGGCGTATTCAGGTGCACAATGAACCTCGCAGAGGAGTTTGGTGCGGCCCCCTCTCACCGCCTCTCCCTCTCAGCACACCCTAACCTTCCCCAGGCCGCGACCGCGTATTCAACACGCCCCTCACCGAGCAGGGCATCGCCGGCTTCGGCATCGGCCTGGCCGCGATGGGCCACACGGCGATCGCCGAGATCCAGTTCAGCGACTACATCTACCCGGCCTTCGACCAGCTCGTCAACGAGGCCGCAAAGCTCCGCTACCGCACCGGCGGCGCGTACAACGTCGGCGCCCTCACCGTCCGCGCCCCGACGATGAGCGTCGGCCACGGCGGCCTGTATCACTCCCAGAGCCCCGAGGGCTTCTTCCTCGGCGCCGCGGGCATAAAGGTGCGTGCCCGCCTTGCCTCTCGTCTGGGATGACGCAATGACCTACATGCGCAGATCGTGATCCCCCGCTCGCCGCTGCAAGCCAAGGGCCTCCTCCTCGCCTCGATCCGCGACCCGAACCCGGTGATCTTCCTCGAGCCCAAGATCCTCTACCGCAGCGCCAGTGCGTCCCCCTCCCCCCCTCCCACCCCGTGCCTAACCCCCTCCCCGCCGCAGTCGAGCAAGTGCCCACAGCAGACTTCGAGCTCCCGCTCGGCAAAGCCGAGGTGCTCCTCCCGGGCGACGCCCTCACCCTCCTCTCGTACGGCACGCCGCTGTACCACTGCGAGGCGGCGCTGTCGCTCCTGCGGACGCCGCCGCCCGCGCTGGACGCGCTCGTCCCGCCCTCCCTCCGCAGCGCCAAGATCGAGCTCATAGACCTGCGCACGATCATGCCCTGGGACCTCCCCACCGTCCTGCGCAGCGTGGCCAAGACGCGCCGGCTCGTCATCGTGCACGAGGCCGGCCGGTCCGGCGGCGTCGGCGCCGAGATCGCGAGCGAGGTCATGAACCGCCTGTTCTTGCAGCTCGAGGCCCCCGTCCGCCGCGTCACCGGCTGGGACACGCCCGTCCCGCTCGCCTTTGAGAAGTTTTATATTCCGGACGCCGTCAGGATACTCGACAGCGTGCTCGAGACGCTGCAGTATTAGCCGGGGTGCTATTGTACATACTGTACTGTTTATGGGCGCGCGGGGGGTAATGCAGGCGCAAGTGCACGCCCGTCAAGCGCCGTGAGGGCTCCATCAACCACCCAGAGCTCGGGCGACCGCGCGAGTACCAACACTGTCATTGTGTCCACCTCGACTTCTCACATCATCCAAAGCATACTTATTACTGTATCACGGAACACTTCTGAAAAGATTACATTGCCTCTCTCCCCGCCGGCGCCCTTGCGGACACAGAGCAGAAACGTGCGGGTGCCGACGCGCGGGAGGGGTGCCTCTGGGCCCGCAGTAGCTTGGACTGGTTGACCGATATGCACCCTCGGGCCGCCCCCAGCTCCCCCATCGTCGGTGTCGAATCGTATCGTAGCGTGAGGGGCACCACCCCTATGTGCCGCACGCGCTCTCTGCTCGCGTCTGGTGGGTCGTGCTTGTACATACATACATACAAAAAGGGCGTCTCGAGGAACGCCATAGCACCGCCGCGGCCTTGCCTTCAATTGGTGGGCTGGCCTTGCAATTGGCTGGGGCGAGGATGGTCGAGCCGCGCGCGGTCCGGGGCAGAGCCGGATGCGGGATGCGGGATGGCAGGGCTGAGGAGCGGGAGCGGGAGCGGGAGAGGGAGAAGGGAGGAGAGGCACAGTGCGCACTGGATACTGTAGTACAGCGGTAGTGGGGTCATGAGCGTCTGTCTTTCGGTGAAGTCAGCAGAAGCATGAGCGACCGCGGACAGGACGTCTGCCCTCGTGCTTCGTGCTTCGTGCTTCGTGCTTCGTGCTTCGTGCTTCGTGCTTCGTGAGCTTGCCAGCTGTCCAACGTCATGGTGCGCCCCTCTGTGTGTTCTGTGCAGGAGACAGAGGATGGAAGCTAATCAGGACGTTGTTTCTGCTAGTTATGTAACACATCCGTAAAGTTGGCCAAAATGGATCTTGGGAAGCGTTCCGTAAGCGATATGCGCGATCGAGGCTGTAGCGACCCTCCCGGTGTTGCTGGGCACCTGGCACCGGGAAGTCTCACGTATCATGAGGATGTGTAGGAGAGCGAAGTGGGTGGTCGTTGTGACCTCCGCGGCGAGGTTGAGTGTCATTGGCCACTGGGCAACGGGAGTGTCCTGCAGCATTTCCGCCTAATAAGACCCGTAACTTACAGGTCTCGATTATCTTCTACTGTATATGCGAGTGCCCCCGAACAGAAAATTATTGTGGCGATGTGGGAGGCGAGGGGTGGTGGTAGTGGGCAAGTAGGAAGGAGCGTGGACGGCGAAGTGCGGTAAGGGTTTAGTAGATGCTGTCTGGAGTTCCGGTGCGAGTGTAAGGAGCAACGACGGGTAGTCGTGTGATGTCTGGCGGGTGGTTCACGGTCATGTTGGAACGAGAGTGGGTTGCACACGTTCTTGTGCGGACTCTGCTCCTTCCCGCGGTGCCATCGGACTCGTGCGGGGAACTCGGGGTCGGCGATGCGCAGGTAGGCACCGAGGTGGAGCGTGTTTAAATAAAGATGGGATGGTCCTGAAACTCTGGTTTGTAGAACGCGGAGTGAGGAGCAAGAATTGTGTCTTGTACTCTAACTGAGGCCTTGGATCTTGCCGCCCGGCTGGCGCAATCGGATAGCGCGTCAGACTCTTACCCCGGGTATATCTGAAGGTTGCGAGTTCGACCCTCGCGTCGGGCTAACGGAAAACATCTCTTTTGCCCATGTCAAGTAAGCAAGATGGGCTGTGTCATTTGAAACTTTTTGCACCGAGTCGCTAACACCGGGCGGAAGCAGAAGAACCGGGCCGACAGGGTTTTCCGCCAGTAGATAGATGATCGCCACATTCGGGCGGACCCCTTTTGGCAACATCGGTTGCTGTATGACCAACACTAACAAATGAATTCCTCCCTGCATTATTATAGCACAATTATCGCGTAGGAGCCGCGGTACAACAATGTCCAGAACAGGAAGCCCCCGTCACAGGAAAGGTATAAGAAGGCAACAACGCTGCTGAAGCTAGCGTCTAGAATTACCATTCGGTCGCAAGGATGTTGCGCGCGGTGCCGATCGCCCTGTGCTGGGCGTATCGCCAATCTCTGACCGACTGCGCGGAGGTACTGAGAATCGACCTTCAGAAGGAGCCGGGGTCATGCTCGCGTGTCGCTTTATAGGTGTTCCTACATGGATGTCAGAGGTACTCTCCGCAATCAGGTCATGACATACCTTGCGAATCGTGCATGCTGACACTGCCGTCCTCCGGAATCTTACGCGCTTGAGAAAAGAACAAGATCGTCTCGCGCTCGGCCACGTTCTCGATCGAGTAAACGTTACCACGAGGTACAAGGAACATTCCGCCAACGGAAATGAGGAAGGAGGTGCGGTATATTTGGACTTTGACTGCGCCCTGGATGACATAGAACACCTGTGGTGCTGTCAGCGGGACCCGGGAGGCGATGTCAATGATACTACTTACATAACTGTTATCTTTCGACGATTTGGCTGGCTTCGTCTCTCCAATCGGTATTGAAAGCATGCCCGCTGCAAGGAATTCGCCATCGCCAAAAATCTTTTGGAATTTGAACCGAGCATTTGCAGCTTCGCGCGGTTCGATCATGCTTTCGGTGAAAGCGATGCCTGCGAGAGGTGTTAGAGCTGCAGAAGGCACAACGGAACACGGTACTTACGCCTCTCAACCTCGTTCTTGGTGACGTACTCGATGACGACGCCCAGCGGATCCGTCTGCTTGTCCCAGCCCTTCTCCGGCGGCTCCTCAGCATCATGATACACCGACTCTGACCTCTTTCGCTTGACCAGCGGTGCATCGTCGTCGTCGCCGTTATCGTCCACCGACTTCCGCTTGTGCGGGCGCTTGTGAGTCCCTCCCACCGGTCTGACGGGGTCTGGCGCCACCTTGATGATCTGCTTGATGACCGGCACGACGGCAACACCCGATTGGCGTCGACCATAGACGACTTTCTCGTTGCGCCAGTACTCGAGGGGGCCATATCGTACACGTGCGTTTCGACGCCGGCCCTGCTCGTCATAGTAGTGGCCTTCACCCTCGGCATGCACATCAATGACTTCACTGACTCCACCTGCAGAAGGGTCAGAGGAGCACGCGAGGAGGTGGGACTGGACCCACGTTCATAGCTTCTAGATTTCCCCGCCCGCTCAGCCCTTCTCCGCATTGCCAGCTCTTTGACGCCTTCACCCTTCCTTGGCCGGCCTTGCTTCTTCGGCGGTGGGGATGGCGTGCCTTCCTCCCTCTCTTCCTCTTGCGCAGCGGGTTCTTCGTCCTCCTCGTCGCCAGCAACTTCGCCATTCTCCTCTGCCATCGCCTCCTCGTCGGCCTCGTTCAAGTTCATGCCGTCGTCATCGTCATCGTACTGTGGAGCGTTGTCATCATCATGAATAGGTTCCGCATCGTGGTCGGTATCGTCTTCCTCAACCGCTCGTCCCCCTTTGCCTTTGCCTTTGCCTCTACGATCAGAGGAAACCACCTCTTCGTCAGCTGCTTCTGACCGTCTTGTCCGTCGGCGTCGTGTAGTTGAAGGCGATGGATCCGCGATCTCCTCGATCTCGTCCACTCCACCATCATCGTCATCCACCTCTCCTTGAGGGAGCAGAGTGTTACCCGTCTTCCTTCGTGAGCCGGCGTCTGGGCGGATCGTTGTGCGAAGCGTAGCGCGGCTGGTCGCAGCGCTCCCGAGAAGGTTGGTATCTTCATCATCTTCATCGACGTCAGCTCCACGTCGATTACTGGTTGGTGTCCTCTTGTTTGTGGGGGGTGCGCTTGACCTGCGCCGGGTTGTGCGCGACATACCAGGAGAGGGAATTTCGTCGTAGTCGACTGTGCTGTGACGACCGGCACGAGAACGAGCGCCTACGGCGGATGCTGAACAACATGTTAGGAGTCCGTCCCCATAACGAAGGTGGTGATAACTCACGTCCTTCGAAATATGCGCCTGAGGCTCCCATGATACCTACAGCAAGTCAGCCAAGGAGCGAGATGCGCGGCGCAGCCGTGCTCACTCGTGTCAATCTCCATCGATACCTCGTCTGAGTCCTCGCCACGATCATCGTTTTGGCCAAGCTGCCGCCGGAGAGGGCTGGGATTGGGTCGCGCTGCAGCATTACGCGCCCGTGCTCGACCAGCCGCAACGGATGTCCCGCCGGACATCATAAGGGCGTCGAAATCTTCCATGTCTTCCTCGTTTCTGCTTACAACCTTGATAGTCTTGCCAGTTCGCCTGTGAGAAACGCCGGTGGTCAGACAGTGCAATGCGTGGCTAGGATCGAGTGACGCACTTTCCACGAGCAAGTTCATCGTGCTGGAAAGGCTGATGTGGTTTCGGAGGTCCACGACGACGGGTCCCTCCAGGTGTCCGTTGTATTTGCGATGAATCGGCCATGGTGTCGCTGTGCACACTGTCGTGCTCGGTGTCGCCGACGTCGAGGTCGTATGGGACGGAGGAGCCGATAGGGCCTACCGCGCGTGATGCGACGCGGGTGACGCGGGATTTGTTTTCCTTCTGCGGAGGCTGATATCACGTGATGAAAGACAACAACTGATATCCAATACTTTTCGAGGTGGAGTGAACACAACGATATCGCCATTACTCATTGGCTGAAAGAGGAGATGAAAAACGTTGTAACCCCTCCAAGGACCACTGCACCTAGTCTTGGTCTCTTCGTCCAGGGCAGCAGCATGCAGTCACCGTTATATATGCAGACCGTTCAGGACCTCCACTGAGCAGGCGCTCAGCGCGTCCCAAGGGACCTATTTGCCTCCGTCGCAAAGTCGGTCACTACAGCACACTGACAAATGCGCACTAAGTACTCAACAAAGAGATGGACAAAAGGTAATTTTACCATTAGCCCAACGCGAGGGTCGAACTCGCAACCTTCAGATACCCTCAGTAAGAGTCTGACGCGCTATCCGATTGCGCCAGCCGGGCGAAGGCTGTTGGAGGTGCGTCTCTCCAGTTCTAGTCATTTTACCCGCCCCTCTACCGGGTACACTAAACATATCGACAACTCATCCTGTCCCAGTCCTTATTCTACATTCAATCCACCCTCCCCTTGCGAGTAGAACCACGCAGCACAGTAGTACTCTCGTCGGAATACTATCAGTGCTAACACCCGTGCAGCCGCCATTGGGATACACCCGCGCTCCACTCTAGTGCCTGTGCAGGCCCCTATCACCTTGAACCGGGCACCGGAGGTCGCACCACCCGCTCTGCACCCCACACTGCACCCTGCCCTCTTAAACCGCTCCGCAAAACCTATACCACGCATCATGTGTTCACTGAACCGCTATGGCAGCATTCCCGTCCAACTGTCAACTAGGGCACCTTACCTCTTCTAATGCCATTTACTTAACGAGCCAACTCGGTAGAACCCGCACTCCCATTGCACTAAAGCAGGCCTCCGCTTCGAAACTCCTTGCTATGCAGTGACGTTTGCACTGCCGGCGCAGTTCTTCCAGCCAAGCAGGACGATAACAGGTCCCGAGGAGCGAACGTCATTGAAGACATGCAACCGAGCCCATGAGTATGCGGCGCCTCCAACCCCCGACGCCGCTTTCAACTAGCCCCGCGTCCTATATACACCCATCATTCAACGATTCAATTGACAGAACCGTCACTTTCATCGCACTGAAGTAGGCGTCGAGTTCCGCTTGAGACGCAACGTGCACTGCGCGAGTCTTCCAAGCGGCCTTAGCCTGCATGAGCACACGAGCCGGCGCACGCCCGGGCTTCCTGCGCAACGGCGACAAAACATCCGAATACATGATAGGCGCCCTACTCCACAATCCGCGTGAGCTCGGTCGGAGAAGACAGTGTGACGAGCGTTCTCTTGCGGTGTCGCTGTCGGCGTTTGCAATGACGACGAACCCGTACTCCACTTGGTACGTCATGCAATGAATATCCGTGCTTCTCGCAAGGGCGTAGTTGTCTCGTAATAGATCCGACATTGATTGCTACAACACCAAGCCTTCATATATAGACACCCAACCGAACGGGAGAATGCCAAGGAGAGAGGGAGGGAAGAAGCACCACCGGTAAGGGACCGGCAAATGTGCTCCAGACCATGACGAGTGTGTGGGGAAATGCTTCCTTGCACCGGTCGAATCCACAATGATGGCATTGCGGGAGACATTCAATGGGAATTAGGTTTAACTCTGGTGTAGCTCCGTGGAGTTTTGTGAATGAGAAAACGGCATGGCGGGTCGTGTGAAGCAAGAGGAAGGGACCTACGTCATAGCTAGGGACGCGATTCGACGTACATTCCGCTGCGCGTCTCACCCACGCGTCTCGCGCTCCCGCTCCCGCCTCGCCTCCCAGCCTCTCCTCCTCCTCGCACCCATGGCCTCCTCCTCTACGCTCATACCGGGCCAAGTGCGCCTCCCGCTGTACCACCCCTCACTGCCTACTCCGCACCCCACTCCAAATCCACGTTATGTCTGGTATCGCTTGGGGCAGCGGCGGGACCAAGCTTCGGAGGCCGACGACCTCAGTGACGAGGAGAACGAGGTGAAATCACAGGTTCGCCCCACTTCCGTGGATCTTATGCGAACCGGTTCGAAGTAATAACCGGTGTCATGATGCAGCTGCGCGCAATACGGGAAACAGGAAACACCATCTTCATCCCCCACGGCAAGCTGCAGACGGCCTTCGAGGAGTCGGCCGACCGAG